GTGTGTAGTTAGTGTGTAGTTAGTGTGTAGTTAGTGTGTAGTCAGTGTGTAGTTAGTGTGTAGTGTAGTCAATAGCTTTGTTGTGTGTGTCAGAACAATGAGGCGCCTGCTGAGTGTTACAGGTGTTACAGCAGTGATACATCTGCTGCTGTCAGGCCTGCAGGTATCAGGCTGTTGTTCTCCTTCATCTCATAGTGGACAGAAATTATTTTTTGGAGCGGCACAAATAATTTGTGTGGCATCAGATTTGATGCAGAACAGCTGATTGTTCTGTAAATAGTTTGAAATGTTTGTTTAAAAAACACCTTGGCTGCATTTTTAGGTAAAGACTGAGGCAAAACTCAGTTACTTTTTTGAAGAAGTAACTATATAATTAATTGCCCAACATTGGTCATTATATCCTGTATTTTGCAGGCAGAGAGTTACAGACTCTCTCCCAGACCACAGACTCAGTGTGTTTTGGGGTTTAAAAGCCACAGAGACACAGTGTTTAGAAAAAATGCGTCTCGACTGTTCCGATAATCCTGACACGTACGGGATCACTACAGGTTTTTGCTTAGGCAGCGGTTGTCCTTCTCTCCTGGATCGGCTGGAGCTTTCTTTAAGAGCCTTTCCAGCTTTGACAAAAGTCCAGCTGTGATAACAACATTTACTCAGGGCCTTCTTGATGTTCTTCTGCCTCCCTGGCCGCTGTGTCAGTGGGGATGGTGTTCACTCTGTGTTAACACAGAGCGATGGTTCGCTCTGTCTCTGTGGCTTTTAAAGCCCAAAACACGCTGCACCAAAAATTGGTCCACCCCAAGGATCAGCACCCCCAAAGCTCTGATCCTAGAATCGCCCCTGCTCATAATGCAAGTCAGAGCTTTATAAAAACAGAACAAAACAAAGTTGTACAACAAAAAACTTTGTTGTACAACTTTGTTTTTGTTCTGTTTAAAAAACACATGTTTTCAAAATTGGAGTTCAAGTTATTTTTACTTCCAGTAGTGTTAACATGCTACAGGTCATGAACAAGATTTCTTTTAAATTTTCATTGTAAGTGGACTAAAGCAGTTAATTAAAAGTAGTCTAACATAAATGCTGTGATTTGATTTTAATAAACATGTGACTTGGATGATTGGATGCTGGCGTGACCACAGTGCACACGTCTGCTGTTGCTCAGTGATCCAGGGACGCTCAGGGAGTTTGTGTGTTCGCTCAGACACATGAAACATTAGAGGGAACATTGATTATAAATCCTCATCTTTTTGATTTTGTTTTACATTTTTAATCACTAATTTAATTCTTTCTTTATGTAGAATGAATATTTAATGTGGAAAGTTTGAGCTTCCATTAAATGGGCAGTTATTACAAGTATCTTTGTGTGTGTGTGTGTGTGTGTGTGTGTGTGTGTGTGTGTGTGTGTGTGATGATGGCGCTCTGAGGTGATCTTTGTGTTTTCACAGATGATCTGCAGCTGCTGAACAGCAGCGACGATCTGCAGCCTCCAGACAGTGAGTCAGACTGAAGTCTGAGTTTCTATAAGAACAGTCAGTGCAGTCAGCTGCAACAGTCACAGACAAATAGACAATAAATCTTTACCTGAATCTTCTACGCTTGGTTGCATTCATTGCTTTCCTTACGGTTTTCTTTGCAGTGTCTGAGATCAGGGTCGTTCTGCTGGGGAACAGCCAGTCTGAGAGGACCGCTGTGGTGAACTTCATACTGGAGGTTCCTGTGTTTAGCCCCGAGGAAGAGCCAGACTATCAGCCGGTCAGAGGACTTCTGAGGGACAAAGAAGTCATCCTAATCAACACTCCAGATCTGCTGCTTCCAAACATCTCTGAAGATGATCTGAGAGAACATGTAGAAAACTGTGTGAGGCTCACAGCTCCTGGACCTCATGTGTTCCTTCTGGTCCTGCAGCCTGAAACCTTCACAGAGGATCACAAGCAGAGACTCTGCAAAGTCCTGAAACTCTTCGGAAAACGAGTGTTTGATCATTCGCTGGTTCTGCTGTCAGCATCCAAAGAGAGGGGCTCGAGTTTCATGGAAGAGCTCGGGCTCCATCGTCCCTTAAAAGATTTGATCAAAATGTGCAGTTACAGATATTTGTGGAGGAAAAACCTCGAACCTCAAGAGCTCTTCACACGCCTGGTTCAGATTTTTAAGGAGAACAATCGAGAGCGTGTGAGATATAAAGCACATAGCTAGGAAACGTTTACTGAAGCGTCCGGTCTCAAAATGCAGAGTATAACTGCACTGTTTAAGTCCCAGAGGACTGCATGCCTTTTAAAACCAGACCAAAAGTTTGTTTGGTGAGTATCAACCAACAGCAAGGGGTAAAAGCAGCTTTTTGTTTTTTAAAGGCACCAAAATAGTAGAAATAAAAGATGTATAAGAATTATTGGTTATCTGGATGTGTGTTTGTTGTTCTTTAGTCTGTTTGTCCGGCTGTTATTGGTTCGGTCTCTCTTCCCTGAAGCGTGCGTCGTCTCTGTTTCTTTTTGAGGCGTCAGCACACACAGTGACTCACTGACAGGACGCTCGCTATTGTGCTTCGCCTGGAGCTGAGAGCACAGTCGGGCCAGCTTCAGCTTCCTCAGGAAGAACAGTCGCTGCTGTGCTTCCTCACCAGCTGTGATATGTTCACTGACCATGTGAGATTGTTGGTAATGTGAGCACCCAGATATTTGATGTTCTTCATAGTCTCCACCTCTGAGGATTTTTATCATCACTGGTGATCAGTCCCACTGTAGTGGTGTCATCAGCAAACTTCACTGTACCCCAAATCCCTGCAGGGCTGTCCTCAGGACCAGGGTTCACGAGATTTTGGTGCCGGTTCTGACGTGTGATGGTCTGTGGGTAGTGGATAGTCCCAGGGTCCTAAGTTTGTGTCCCAGTTTGTGAGTGATCATAGTGTTAAAGATGCAGCTGAAATGAACAAAAAGCTTCCTTAAATGTGTTTGGATGCTCCTGCAGGGACTGGGGTGTGTGAAGTGCAGGTAAGACTTCATCCTTCAAAGATCTGTTCTCCTGATAGGTGAATTCATGGTTGTCAAGATCTTTGGAGAAAATGTGAGATGAAATAATGCCCTCAAAGCAGTTAATGACCAGGTGAAGGTCACTGAGAGACTTAACTACAAATGTGTCTAACATTTTTCACTTTATCCATCCTTGGCCCTGTAGGAATACTGTCGATTATTAATTAGCAGAAACCAAAAGAGCTCTGCCCCTCGAGCCAAAGCTGATGACATAACAGCAGCAGAGACAGATTGGAGCTGTTTTTACAGACTTGGAGCTTTTTATTGTCATTGTGCAGTTTCTTGCACAGCGAAATTGGGTAGCTGAACCAAAAAGGTGCAGAAGTAAAGAAGAGAAAACAATATACAATGAGGGGAAAAAAGCAATATATGTATACAGATATGTGAATGAATTATATACATGGTGTTTCTGTAAGAAACACTGAAACAGAAACATTGTGGGTCTGCATACAATGGCAGTTATATAATAAATAAATAAATAAGGGTCGAGGGGAAATGGTCATTTAGGGTGGGGATGGTGATTCCACTGAGACCAAAGTATTGCATAAAACATGGAAAGACTGAGATATTGCACATAGATGATCAACAGCAGTGTCAGGATGGATGTGTTGGAGAAGTCTGTTCACACTCTTAGTTTGGATTAACAGTTCTGACAGCCCAGGGGATCAAGCTGTTCTTTAGTCTGTTGCTTTTGCACCTGATGGATCTGAACCCTGGGCTTTCTTCACCAGGGCTGATGTGTTTGTGGACCAGGATAGGTTCTCAGATATGTGGGGCCAACGAACTTAAAGGAGGACACCCTCTCCATATTTCTGTAAGAAAAGAGAGAAGAAATGTTTCTGATTTTATGACTTGATTGTTTTATTTACCATCATCCAAAGTTGGTATTTTATGAATCATCACAAAATCAGTTCTTGTGCTGGTAGATGCAAATTGACAAGCAATAAAAAAATCACAACAATAAATTGACACGGTGATAAATATCTGATAAATTATTAGAACATGTTAGTTACAAATGTCATCTCAACTAAATATAGATGTTATCTGAAGGTAATGTTTAAATTTCAATCTAACTCTTTTTGAGATCACATCACTCCTCCTCTGTCCTGTACTGTTTGTTTTTTCATTTACCTTGTGTTTATAGTTTGCTGTACTAATGTGACCTTGAGGGTCTTCAAAGGTGCATGTAAATAAAATGTATTATTATCATCATCATTATTATTATTATTATAAACATGCATAAAGACAGTTATGTTTTCAGACAGTAGTCATCTTCTTTAACATTGATTCTAAATTGAAAACGTTTTCATGTACAGCCTTTTCAATTTGTTTGACTTAAATATTTAATGGGAAATTGATCAACTACTTATTTTATATTTTCATTATTATTTGTCTGCCCATTACAGACAGACGATGTAAGAAAATGGTTTTGATAAAATTTCATGTCCTTTGTAGAGAGCAGCAGATAGAAAAGGCAGAAATTTGTCTCCAGTATATGTTTTATTATTGAATGTGAACATAATGTAAATATTCTCTGTAAACACCACATGGATACAGATTCACTCTGAGATTCAGTGTGTGGGGGCTGCTCACCAGGTCAGACCAGTGGCGGTTTTTGGAGCATCAGAGGCAGTGTTCGCCCAGAGCGCCAAACAGGCTAGGACCGCCTCTGGATCAGACTGCGAAGTCTCGACCAGTGATCACACTTAAATTTAATTAGATCACAAATTTAAGTAAAAAAAGTCACACAAGTTTCATTGTGAAATCGAAACTTCCTCATTCACACGGCTACATCTTGGGTGGGGGGGG